ACTCTTCAAAACTTCTTGTAACATTTTTTGCTCCTTAGCTGCAGCAGATTACATGTAAATTGTGAACAGTCCTTGAATATTAACAGGCAGAAATACATTAATTCAGTGAAGGATGAAGGCTTATTACTTAAGATTTTTTGGAGGGAAAGTGCTGAAATGCCACAGTTTGTTTAAACACTTTAGTTTCAATTACTGAGACTGTTTTTTTGCTTATTGTTTAGTCAGTTTTGGAAAAGAAACAACATGGAAATCAACAAGATTTTTAAGGACTTAAAATTTTATTATGTTCCATGCCGTTGCTGTAACACATATTTCTTCCTTTACCTTCTATCATATACTAGGGAAGTTCTGTTCTCTAACCTGGTCAATTTAGGAAAAGTGTTCAATTATGAAATACATTCTTAGTGTGTACAAATCTGTACTTAGGTAGGGGTGATAAGTCAATAAGATGCAATGTAACTTGCAGATGCATCGAAAGACATTAATTTTTCTATAATTACAGATACATTTTCTTCTGTACCTGCACAAGAGAAACCTGCTGAAAGCTGCTCATAAATGCCATGTATATTATAATGGATCATAAGTAATGAAATGTTTAAAAAAAAAAAAAAAAAAAAAACCAACAAAAACCCTGTGCAGTATTTTACTGGTTAGCATTTCCCAGAATTAATCTGAGTATAAGTTTATGTTGTATTTCATTTCAGATCCAGCTACTCCTAGATATACATATCAATCCATATTGCTGACACTGTGCTTCTTTTGGCCTGCCAGCAGATTACATCCTCACCATGGCTTCACCACTGGCAAGAAGCCTAAGAGAGAAGTTTGCAGATGGAAAGGGATGGAGAAATTCCCAAATAATCTGTTCCATTCTGGACAGGTTCTTATACCATGCCCACCACCACTGCATCAGGGACCTTGCTGAGCTGATATACTGGGGCCCTGCTTGCAAAGCACAAGCTCTCAGGTCTGAAATAATGATGGATGAACATTAGGTTTTGGTTCAGTTACAGGTCTGGGAAAAATTAAGAACAGTTCTCATTTTATCAGAATGAATTCACCCATCCCTAATATAGAGCTGGCGAAGTATTTTTTGCAGCATTAGAATACTGTTGCATAAGCATAGTGACTAAATGATAAATGTCTCTAATGGGGATGGAGTAATGGGCTTGAAATACTGTAGACAACTCCACTGGAACTGCTGTTCATCACTCACAGCACTGCTAACTTCAGCTTTATAGTAAACCAGTAAGACAGACATTCTTCTCCCACCCCATCCTCCCCAGTCCATGCTTGCTGAAATGCTGTTAAAGGAGTGTTGTCATTAAAAAAAAAGGAGTCACAGGTACTAGGTGTATATATTAAACTGCTCCATTAGAACTTACCCCATCACCCTGAACAGTCACTCATGTTGACAAAAAAAAAAAAAAAAAAGCCTTGATTATTGATGATGCAAATATATTTCTTCATTATTAATTCCAATTAACTTGGATTTTAATGTATATTCATAATGATAAGAGGGCAACATGCAGCAGAAAAAGGGTTGTAAGCTTTCCACTTACCAATTAATGCTATTATCAAATGCTAAGAAAAAAATAAGTGCCTGCCAGCTGTGGCTTTATTGTGCCTTCCCAGAACTAATAATGGGAAATCTATGAAAGTTTTTCTTTTTTTACTTTTTTTTTGTGTGTGTTAGCCAACAACAATAACAAAAACCACAGTCTTTTGTTTCCCACATAAATATTTTTTCAGAAGGTAATCTAAACAGAACAGTAGTGTTTAGATCTGAACTTTACTAAAATTAAGAACCTAATTTTTAAGCTGAAACTTCCTTCCAAGCACTTCTGACATATCATGAGCAGTTATTTCCTTGACATGCAGATGCAAAGATAAGGTGAACTGATTTGGATGAGTGACAGTGCAGTCCAGAACAAACACATTTACCCATCTACAGCTGGTGTTTTCCTACCCTTGCATCAGATATTACACAGTGAGTCTCACTGTACTCCAACTATTTGGTGAACTGACCACAGACAAGTTTAAGTGAAGGAAAAGTCTTCCCTTGATTCTTCAATGTCCTCTATTGCATTTTTTACGATTTTCCAGCTGTGTGCTGAAAGAAGCATGTCAATGCCAGCAATTTGTTTCTGACAGAGATGACAAAATCCTTCAGACATGAATCAAACTTTATAAAGCTCTAATAGTTTTAACCTACTTAGTACTCTCTTAAAGGTCACTATTAAATGGACTCAAATACTGGGCTGTCAGGCAGTCTTATTTTAGCATCTTATGACTGAACAAAGATTTTTAACCAATTTCATTTCCATCATTTTCTTCATAGGATTAATTTTATTCTGCCTCTTAAACTATGAATTTTATTTCACCAAAAGCCTGAATTGAATTTATCTAGACCCCTGGTTCAACAAACTGAAAATTTCTATTTGCTTCTCTAGGTAAGGCCTAGCTGATCTCTTCAGCTTCTTTCAAAACTGATGACATTTCCTCACTGAAAGCATAATTTGACTGTGGAACTGAGGTGCTAACATCACTGCTGTGGGGACAATTAGCATTTCCAAACCAAAATGTGCTCCTTATTTCCACCCTGTGATGGCATGTGCAGCCAGGGAACTGGTGCAGAGCTGGGCAGCTCACCTGCCCACAAGGCTTCATGCAGACCCATAGCTGGGCAGCCTGCACAGCCAAATAACCTGCCCACCAAAAAGGCATCTGGTCAGAAGTGGTCTCCCAGGGAAGTCTCCACTTTCTCTTGAAGCAACTGTAAATTATTACACCTAACAGCCTGTGTTCAAACCTATAATAAGAATTAAGCTAGAGTTAAGCTCTTATGAAGCCCCAAAGAGAATTCCTGTCAAATATAAAAAGCAGCTCACTTCAGTCAAGCTCTAACGTTTTCTTTACATGCTCAGAACAGATAATTCAAATTATAAGCAAAGCTATTACTCCTGTAGATAGCCTATGGTAAATTGCTACTAAATTATTTTGGTTATTCCGTTAATTAGATATTTATGAAACATATTCTAGCATCTGACTTGAAAGTAGCTTGCAACTTTTTCTGTAGTGGAGTTCATCTTTCCTGTCCAGACAGGAAAAAATGGAGGGATGTTTGCAAAGAGAAGCTTCAACAGACGCCCTTCCTCAAAAAGGCTTTTAGAAAGTTTGGCAGAGTAAGGTGAGACAGTGTAAGTTCTAGGCTTTTGAATTCTCAGGGAGTAATCCGTGGGGAATAAAATGCAATCAGAAAAAAACACAGTAAAATAAAAAATTTAAGACAAAAAGACGAAATTAACAGGCTCCCAACTGAGTTACCATACCCATAGAGAAACAAAGGGTGTGAATGCAATGATTTGATGTTAAAAATAAAAATGTACCCCCAAAAAAATAATTAAAATTAGCCTGTATTAGAATTGCTGTCAGAAAGAATTTATTAACTAATGAGATAAAAGCTATTATAAAATGCCCTCAAAATGCCTTTCAAGCTCTGTCTTTTCCTACTCACTTCCCTAAAGGTTAAAAAGTGTCTAATGTTTCCGTTCTGGCCAAACACCTGTCAAATTCCTATTTTAGCTAGATTTTAATTAGGAACAGGAACTAATACCCTACTAATTAATTGAGCATCTTCCTTTCCCAATTCCTCTGCTGCCTCTTCTTCTACAAAGATAACCCACCAAAAAGGATTGCTGTACAGCCATGAAATTCCCTAAAATAAGACTATGAAGATAATAAACAGTTGAACACTCAAAAAACTAATATATTCAGATTTATTCACATACTCTTAATTAATCATTAAAATTTTGTTGGAACTGAATATCTTGAAAAAAAATTAATTTAAACAACACATTTTCATGTGTCTGATAACATAGTTGCTATCTATCTATATCTGCAGATTGAGTATGAATTGCTTAAATGAAAGCAGAAATGGATCTCCTTGTCTTTCTTTTAATGTGGACTGTCTTTCATCTTAGATTGCTCTGCTGATATAAGGGTATGATTTCCATGTGCTTTGCTCTCAAGTACTTGTCTGCAACTCTGTGTTTTCTATAAACTTAACTCCAGTGACCACAGAAATTGAACAGTTCATTGCAGTTAGGGAACTACCCTGATCTATTCTGCAAACCTTTTCTTCAACAATCAAATTTCTTCTTGTTCAGTATTAAATGAGAGACTTGCTGCAAAGAGAGGTGAAAGAGAACTACAGACTGATCCCATCTTTAGACTGAAAGTGGGCAGAGGCTGAAGAAGTAGGAAGAAATGCATTTGTTTTACTTTATCTAAATTAGTTTTCCCCTCACAAGCAGCCTCTTATTAGGAAAAAAAAAAGATGCACTTTCTACTGGAAGCAGTTAGATCAAGCTTGGAATAGTATTTCTGTATATTTACAAACCAGATGCTCTGTAGCACCATCCCTGAATCACCTCCGGAGCATGCTCAATTGTGTTATATTGCCATGCTCTCAAAATAAATGTTCCAGTGCCATCATAGCTCACAGTACTAGTTTCAAGAGATAATATCACTTCTGGAAGTTGATGAACACCCAGATAAAATATTACTGGATCCTATCACCTTTTTTCATCATCTAAAACCTTTGTCATGCTGTCAGAGATAAAATGAATACACCAAAAAGAACATACTAGTGGTTCAATAAAGGAGTATCTATGATGCCTTTACTGGAAGTTATAATTTATTTTTAAACCGAATGACAAAAGTCATCTATTATAAATCTGTGGTTACTGTATGTTGTTTTGCAACAGGTTTTATCAACTATTTAATTCTAGTTTTTCACTGAACTTCACTGTACATTGGTAAGAGCCTGCAAACGCTTCCAATGCCTTTCACCAGTTAGGTCATTCTTTGAAAAAACAAAGGAACCAGACCCTTATGTAGCTACAATGATCTCTTTTACTAAATGCTAGATTTAGTCTTTAAGCAATTGTATGTGGTAATGACATCCCACATCTAAAAATAATTTTCTCTTCTGACAGTGACCAAGATACAGTTATGACTGAGAAATTTCTTCACCATTGATTTTGGGTTCTTTAAGGGGCAGGTCTTCCAGCTGAAGGTCCGGCACCTACCAGAGCAGCAAAGGGAAGAAAAGAATGACTTACTATATGGGAAGGCTAAAGACAAAAGGCTGAAAATATTTGTTAATACCCTGCTCTTAAATTCTAAACGAAGCATCTGTCATGGGCCAGCACTGGAGACAGGACATTGGGCCTAACCAAGATGGAGAACTGACCCCATTTAAAGTAACCAAACTTATGCTATGGTCTTTGGTTTAGATAAGGATATATTATCATACAGTACTTAATCAACACTTAATTTATTTTAGCCTGGGGGAAATCTACATGATGGCCACCCATATTTAAATAAAGATAGTACTTTTCCTCCAGCTTTCAATGCAGCAAATGTCGGGATTTTATTAATATGCTGAGAAATGTATTTGCATTATATTCCATGAAGAGATCTCAATCTCTGCTAGGTGAAAGTAATTTAAAAGCTACTGCTTTATAAAATAGTTTTACAGACTTATTAAAGTAATTAAGTACCTCTATAAGAGAGACAGAATTGCTCTTACACTAAAGTTTGAAGGACTTTATAGCTGTATTTCTTAGCCAGAATAATGCTTTAAATCAATTATATTCTGTTATAATGATATTTTTGCTATAATACACAATTTGTGGCATTTCTGTAAAAGCAATTAATAATAGCCTTTTAACACAGACTCCATACATTCTGCATAATATATACATGAATGTGTAAAACATACCACACCTTTATGAAGCATTTTAAAATCATTTAATTGCTGCCATAAATCATTTAAATGAATCTTAGTCTGAGTAATTACTTTTGATTGGTTCAGTGTGCTGGTTTACTTAATAAATTGTGTTTTTCTAATTGGCCAAGATTTTAATAACAAATTAGAAAAGCGTTTGAGGAGGATGGGTAGTACAACTACCAGTTTTAATATATGTGGTGTCCTGAACTCAGTTAATTAATCCAAACAGCAGCGTTTGAAATGTCATCTGGTTGATGCAACTGGAAGTGTTTTATAATCCTAAAATGCTCTTTAACTAAACTGCTAAGGCTTCTTAAATAAGTATTTTTAATTACTGTTATTATTTGAAATAAACCACATTTGGTTAAAGAAGTCTATGGTGACTGGTGCCTTCAGGGTATATTCTCCTTACACTTTTTTTTTAAATTTAATTTATAAATCTTCCTCCTTAAAGAATTTTGGGAAATATTGTGATTTGACATTCTGTCCCGAGGGAAAAAGCAAGCTTGTGGCTACAGTATCCTTGGAGAAGATCAGAGAACTTGCTGTGACACTGAGGGCTGGGCTGGCTAGGGATGCTGTTCTACTATAATTATGTCAATTCTATTCCTTTTTCAGGTAGTCTGTTCTCAAATAATTTCTTCCATAATAATTACTTTCTACTGAAAGTAGAGAATCACCTGGTAGGTACAGAAAAGATAACAATATTTTAACCATTCCAGTTTAGCTGCCCTGGGTGGACACTTTTCTACGGAATAAGTCTTCTACGCTGTGGAAAGTTTATTTATCTTGGCATGAAAAATGGGATTTTGAGAATTGGGGAAGCTGACTATGTCAATACTATTTCCACTCAGGACCCTGAACTAAGACCACTCAGCAAGAAAAAGACACCATTACCATTAATTTTGGCTGTTTGTATAAATTGAGCCCCTGCAATCAGAGAATTAAGAACAGGTCTTTAACTTCTGTATCAGCACAGCTGAGGGATAAAATGAGAGATAACAAAATATGCCCTGTAAGTTCCATTTGCATCTCTTTTAGGTATGGTCAGAATTGGTTACCGTGGCAAGAGGGTGACAACATCTTTTTGAAGATTCCTCCCAAATATCAAATGTCACTGCCCCATGAAGCAGGCTTTCTTGCTAGTCCTAGAGATTGTATTTTTCTCAGGAATTAATAGCATAGTGGGAAGACCTTGGCTTTTGTTGTCTCCTAAGCATTGAACAGGAGCATCTGAAGTAGGTATCATTTCTGTCTCTAAGACTTATGTTCTCATTCTAAGTTTTTTCTGTTGAGTAGATGTAAAATAGTGCCTGTAATTGAAAAAACTCAAGAAAGCCTTCAGCTACATGTCTCAGGTCCTGCTGGCTGTCCAGCTGGAGCAGCACAGACCTCAGCTCATTAATGGCAAAGCTCTCCAAGAAACAGAGGCCATATCCAGGATGCAAGCAGCAGTCCCAGCATAGGTATGTCCTGAAGCAAAACAACATGACTGGAAAAGTTCTTGAAATACTTTGTTTCTTAAATCTCTGACTTGTTTTTTAAAAGGAAATAAAATTAATAAGAACAGTGTCTGAACTGTAGAAAATGAATTAAAAATTAAGAGGTAAAATTGAAATTTGAAGCTCACAGCCCTCTTCCCTGCTCCCAGCTTCAAGGGAGTATATAATGCTATTTATGTTTCAGATTAATTTATTTGAAAAATTGGTAAAACTCCACAGAATATTTCAGACAAAAATCTCTCATTTCAACAGAAATAATGCCCTTTTTCAAGGGAGAAGGGCTGGCCAGAAATCAAGGCACCAATCTTTGTGTTACAGCTTTAGCCTTGTTTTCTGTTTGTTATTTTCTACCCAAGAGCAGACTTTAAATAACTTAAGACTTCTGTGGTATATAAGATGCTGAGTGGGATTTCAAAAAGCTTCATAGGGACTTCACGGGGAAGTATGAATAGGTAGGTACTAAAATAGTTTGAAAATTAGTTCCTATGTTCCCCTTGTCATCAATTACATTTCAGAAGAGTGTTCTAAGGGTAGATGAAATCAAGATCATCACATGTTCGCTCACTCTCCTATTGGGTATCACCATCACCATAAATGTCACATGGTACTGGGTACCTTTCACACCGTATCTGGTGTGAGATCTTGTTCTCTAGGCAGACCTCTTCATAAATTGCCAGATTACAAGGTGCCCCTTTAAGGAGAGAAGACCCGGTACTTGAAATTACAGTTGCCTCTTCATATGCACACTGCTGTCCCTATCTCTGCATAGACATAAGGCAAAAAGGAGTCTCCTTGAGAAGCTCTGGGTGGAGGTATATCCTTCCAGTGTTCATCATGATAGTTATTTTTAGATACTAACAATTACCAGAGAGTTTCAGAGCTTCAGAGTAAGAATGTCTCATTCCACCTGCAACTCTCTTAGGGCGTGGTTATTTGTAAGGTTCTCAGAAAAGCTTGTGTTCTCATGTAACAGGACTATCCAGAGCAGGGGCTTCAGTCTGAGTGGAAGTCTTCACTCAGGATTTTCTGGTTTTTCTTAGTTTACAATCAGCTGGTTAGCATTGCTCAACAAAGTTTGTGTGTATAAGCTGTTAGACTCTTCTTGCTCCTATTTTGTTGCTCTATACTGTATTGTACTTTGTTGTAATAATTACAGGCTAATGTTGTAATTATAGACTTCTTAATTTTAACTTATTTCATGACAACAGCTCTGGTGAGTTTTTATTTAAAAAGCAGATACAAATTATAATTAACATAATGAGTAATTTAGGGGAATTTGTGCACAGACCAGTAAAACATAAAGTTAATAGCACAGATCAAAAAACAACCTGATACTGAATAACCTTTCCAGGTAAAAAAAAAATCATTTCTTCCCACCAGAGGTTTCAACATTTGGATAGAAGTAGATCTCTGCATGTGGCAAACAGGCAACTAAGCACCCTCAGCTTTCACAAAACTAAACCACTGTGTAGCTCTGTGTGGGATCAGGCTCACAATCCCTTTTTCTTATCCTTCCAGGATCCTCTTCTTTGAGGAAATGCAACTCAGCGATGATGGCAGGAGTAGCAAGAAACAAAGGAGCTTCCCTGAAAAAAATAGTAACATAAGAAATCCCAACACAGATTAACAGCTCCTGCACATATATTGCAACCTCCATTCAGAAAAGATGTGTATAAGTACTTGGTTGAGTTGTATCTGCAGTAGGCTGCCTGAAGCCATCTGTTTCCACTGGCTGTATAGGGAGCCAAAATTTATCAGTCCTGAACAGTGGGCCAAATCACCTGCACACACTGCACACCTGAACACAGCTGGACAGTATGGGACAAAAGTCACTGCATCAGCAAACCACAGGTACATCCACCATGTGCCAACCAGCAGCCTTTGAGGATTATGTTACCACAAGATCACTGAGCAAGTTAAGTTTAACTGTGAGTTACTTTTTCCTGTGAAAGGCCATACCAAACCAACTGCTTTTTCAAACCCTATGAGACATGCATTTGAGAATGTATTTCAGATTCAATAGGCTAGCTTGGGTTTATCTCTAATATGTTAAAAGGCTGGAACCTCAAAGAGGGCTTTCACCTTCTGTATTTGATTAACACTAATTATTTTATTCTCTGTGGGTTGTCCCATTGTCTTTGCCACTAGAGAATCTTCCACTAAGACTCTAAGTGATGGGATTAATATCTTCTGTATGTGATGGGCTCATGTTCCTTCTATAGAAATATTTTCTGCAAACAGATCATTTAAAGCACTCTATGTCAGTACCCTTCTCTCCTGTCTTCCATGTTCTGTCTCTTCATGCTCATAAAAAAATGAATACACAAATGGTTTCTCAGCTGAACAAGTTTTCCAATATTTTGTGGGTGTTGACATTCAATACACACTACATCATTTGATTAAAAAAGTATCAACTAAAATAAACAATGTAAATGGTACATTTAAACTATCCATCTGAAAAAGTACTTTCTCAGTAGAAATACTTTGTGTGAAACTGATCATTGCAAGACATGAAAGACTTAGATTACATTCTAAGATGAACTTGCATTAAATCATAAGACTGCAAATACTTTGTAGACTTAACAAATTATTAATGTTATATACAAATATCAGTTCTTCTAACTCAAAAATGCAAACAAATCTAGGGTGCCAGAGGCAGTTTTCTCCCAACACATGATAATACTACACACAGATTTAGGGAAGAAATTAAAAATAACATTGAATTGAAACAGCCAAGGGAATTTAGGTAGGCAGAACGTAATTACCCAAGCTGGAATTTGGCCAAGACACTGGGGCTAACACTCTTTCCCTTTTGAAAAGTGCCAGGAGATCTTTAATGAGAACAAGTACCCAGGGATCTCTAATGAGAACAGGGTCAGGACCTTCATTTGATATCTCAGCTGAAACATAGCAATCTCAGCAGCACCATACTACCTAACACAATGCTGGGGCATAAGTTCAGATCTGACTCAGACAGAAGAGTAACACCAGCAGCATCACTACCACCTTCTTCTTTCGTACCTTGCTCTCTGTGGTTTTCACTCACTCCACAAAGCTTAGCAAAGCACTGTGTGTCAGGTAGAGCAGAACATAGGAAAACTGCTTTTCAAATGTATGTGGTTCAGCCATCATTGTTCCCATTTGGTATTTTCTGCTGGGTAAATCTGTCAATGGGTACTGGCTGACTATGAATGGTGAGCTAACCAAGGACAGTAAAGTGGAGTTTACTCTTGACATGAGAGAACATAATTATGACCAGAAACACAAAAGCAGAAAGTGAACCATTCTAGTAATTTTAATCACTTGCATTTGTTAGTAAAAGACCTTAAAATAGTTTTGCAATTACAGTTTTAGATTGTCAGAAGAGTCTTTTCTATTTAGTGAAACATTTTAACATGTATTTTGTCAGTCCAAATACTGTCTTTCTGACCTCTCCAGTTCTGTGGGTTATAAAGGTGAGAATTTGGCTATGGCTGTTATCATGCCCACAATTCAGGTATGATATATTACTGCCTATTTGTATATTGTGATGTAATCATTTCCAAAATAGACACCAAAAAATCAAAGGAAGTAAAAAAGCAAGCGTAATTTTCATATGCTACTGAATTCAAACCCCACGTTAATAAACAGTCCAGTTTTCAGAGGCACTGAGCATGCTCAGATTCTGTTTATTTCAGTTTAGTCCTATTGATGGCACATGATCACATGCTAAAAATGTGCTTGGCAGGATTAGGCCCCAAGCTGAAACAAACTAATTTAAAGACAGTTCAACAGTATTCACAAGGGCAGCAAATATAATCACAGGCAGTTGCTCTTTTATTTGTCTTCCATTTATTCCTATTAGGT